ATACACCCAGCCTTCCTGTAACCTCTAAATTGTCCATTCTGGGGTCCCCAAGATGTCTCTTCAGAAGTAAATTGTGCTTCAGTCCTCCAGTTTATACTGTGATATTTGATGTTCTAATGTCAATTTAGAAGAAAAAAAATACATTTTAATTTTTTTTCTCCTAGGTATTATTGGAAATGCTGCTACTTGAATTGTGTCCTGAATTGCGAATTCATTTAGAGAAGGTTAAAGCAGCTCAGGTTTGAATGTTCAGGTGAATTAGTAAGAAGAATGTCTGTTGGTAATAATAGACATTAAACATTTCCCTCTTTTCCATAGAGGGTTGACTGAAAACTGAAAATTTGTATATTTTTCTTTTTTTTTTTTTAGATTTACACAAAGCAAAGAAAAGCAGACTTGAAAAGAACAGATGATAGGGTAGAATGCCAGCAATGTGTAGTTTCTGGCTTTTATTTAACTTGTTATATGAATAAATCTCTTTAAGATACAGATTGAAATGTGAATGTTAATATAAGATATACAAAATATAAAATATTTTAAACATTTACAAAAGGCATTTGGCTTTAGTGATATCTTAATGGATGTTGTACAGTTATTTTTTTCGCTGAGGATACTGACTGTTCCTCTATTTTCTTGTGTATTGATAAGCCTTGTTGTGCAATATATGTAAAGATACTGTGTAAATTTTACTGCTTTTATTTTTACCAAAGATTTTCCATAGTTTGCAGCCTTTGTAAGCAATAAATTATAAAAGTAGAGTGCACTGCTTCATAATTATATCTCTCATTACAGTTTGAAAGTTGGAGTGCTGTTTCAGAGAATTGTGTAGTTGTTTGAACACAACAGACAACCAAAATTTAGTGTTATCTTGAAATACATTGTGAGTGAATCAGCCTTAAGCAGGATATAAATATCTTATCATCCTAATAAATTGAAGTGCAGTTAAATCACTCAGCCCATTTTGATGTTCTCCAGGGTATGTTTTCTGTAAAGTATCTCTTAAAAGGGCTATTACACCCTTATTTAATTTTATGTCAAGGTTGCCAGTTTAGCCATTTAAAGAACAGATAAGAGAGCCATTAAGTTGTTGTTAGAGTAGCAATTTGTATTCTGAATTTAATTTATTAATGTGTTATATTTTAAAAAAATACAGTGTTTTCAGATATGTATGTCTCAAAGACAGTATTACCAATAGGTGTAAAGAAAAGAGCCACAATCCAGAAAACATGAGAAAAGTTGATCTTTTTATATTTGTTTTTTAAAAAATCCTAACGATTCACACATTAAGTAAATTAGCTTGTTCTTTTTAACAGCAATGAACCTTATACTATGATTTTAAATACACAGATGTGTTGCAATGCATATTATGGTAATTACTGATTCAATGCATAAAGACCTGAATTATAATCTACTTTTCTTCTGCAATGTATTATCTATATATCACCATTGGTAACCTGTGTCTATCAGGAATTTCAGGGCTTACTGATTCCAAGTAATTATTCAAATGGTCTAATAGTAGAGATTGATTTAACTATATGCAAAAAAAAATTACCAAATAATTTTTCAGCAATTATGGAAGAATGTTTTAGGAAGTCAGGGCTTTTAAAGGATGTTTTAAATTTCTTTTTTAAATTAGTTATACATGGGTACACTGCTAATTTAGTATTGTCGGTGTTCTTTCTAATGTGCAATGAAATGTTTTTATATATATTGGGCAAACTTTTTTCATACATTTTATAGTAATCAAAAATAATTACTGTGACATAAGCCTACTAAATCAGTATATAACTTGTTAAAACTATATTATCTTAGGCAGTATAGCTAAGAAGTCTATATTTCTTCAAGATAACTGAAGAATTCCTAGCACTTTGATATTCATAAACTGAAAGCACTCTGATGTGACAAATACTCAAGGTTTTCCTGAGTTTTTTGGAATCATTTTTTTAAACCTAGAAGACAGAATCCATATAAAAGCTGTGTAAAGCTATGTAATAGAGTGGCTCCATTTTCCTTTTGTTTGCGTCCAACCTGACAGTGCATCATAAATAAATAATAGGTTTTCTGTATTTCTTCTGTCATTTTCTTCAGTATCTGAAGATGCCATGTGCAGGATTACCTATAGTGATTTCTATTCTTTATAAGAAGCTGGTTTAAGTTAATGAATACTTCCTTTGTTTTCTTTGAAGTGTGTTTATGCTTTCTCTTTATCCCTTATCTCATTCTCTATAGAAATGATGTTGTTTGAAATCAGTTTTGAGAAACCCAAGAGAATTGCATTTTCTAAACCTCATGATTGCATTCTCTAAACCTCCTGGTTATGGCAGAATTTATCCTTAAACTTTCTTCACTATAACTACAAAGGATCATAAGAAATATTATGTAAGGCAGAGTATTGATATAGCACACCGCCTTAACCAAGGATAGCTGATTGCAAATGCCTTCAGAAATGTACTCAATGATCATCGGTCAACTTTTATTATATTAACAGAATTAAAGAATTACTTTACAAAGTAATAGTATAACTTTACTGAAGGAAATTTATATGCATTACTCTGAATGAAGAATAAGGGAGACAAAAGTTTGTTCACATTAATCAGAACCTGAAAGAAACGTTTGCTTAGATTCAGCGAAATAATATTCTAAATTCTCCCATGATTTGCAGTCAGCTCAAGATCAGCAGCTAAAGCAGGATCCAATCGACATGCCTTTAAAAACAGACAAAAATATATTCTAAAAAATAAGATTGATCTTGTGTGTCTTCTACAAGCTCACTGTGCTAATAGATATTGTTTTCTAAGCTTCCTTGGGTTAAATCATTAAACTAAAAATACACTTTTGATCTCCTTAATCTCCTATTTCCTTTTTTTTAAAATCTCTCAAGATAAATTGATATGGCAAGGTAGCTTTCCCATATGGAACATCTATCATGGAAAAAGTTAAACTGAACTCTTTAATTGCCAGATGTTTAGACTGGATTTGGCATTTTTGTCCATTTATCAACTTCTTCACAGGAACCTAGGATAGGCACAATATTTAATAACAATATTAAAAGCATCATTATTACTATTTTTAGATTATAAATCCACTGCATTATTGCTGTAGTTAAAATGAAGACTGGAAATTGGTTATTTTATTTGATATTTGTAAAAGAAAAATAAGATTAGTTATAGAGGATGGTCACATTTATTCCCCAGAAAATGTCCAATTTCAGTCAGAAGGTACTTAATTTTTTAAAAATTGAAACACAAACAAGGAGCTGAGTCAAGAATACTACTAAATCATAGCTTGACCTAGGTTGGCACATTCCCCCCATATAATCTTCCAAGAAATTCAAATGTTCCCGCTTCATTTTTGAGTATTTGCAGCTTGCCATGTGATCTGAGCTTGGAGAAAAAGTCAGTGATGTTAACTATAGTTACTAGAAACAAGCCAGCTTCAAGCCATAGCTCATAAAACTATTTTATTCCCAATAATTTTAAAATTAACAAGTGAAACCTCCATAAACTTCAATTAATCTAAAAATGGAAGTGGACAAGGCAGGGAGTATATGAACCTGAGAATATGGTAGACTTATTCAGAAACTGGTATTCCCCATGCTTCAATAGTGCTGGCTGTAGAGTATACATGCCTTTGATAACCACATGAATAGTAACAGTATTTATTTAGAATTTGCATGATTATGTCTATATCATATATCTTGAAGTAGGTTTTGAAATCTTCCACATCAAGTGCAGTAAACAACAAATGGGGCACAAACCTGCCTCAAGTAAGTCAATTTTTATTCTTTTCAGATATGTTATAAACAGTTTAATTTTCATGTATAATTCTGTTTCATGTATCACAGATAAGCCTAACAATAAACTTAAGGAAGTAAACTCGCGTCCAATTAAAAAGATAGAGCCACCCCCCTCTTACCTTAGAATAATATTTTTTAGCTGCTGGTAAATCTTGTTGGATTCCTCGGCCAAGCTGGAGACATCTGGCCAAGTAGAAAGAAGCCATTGCAAGTCCTCTGCTTATGTAAAAAGGAAGACAATCTGTTTCCTCTGCTATCTTTTCAACATTGTCATTTTCTGTTACTCTATTTGGAAATGCACCATAAGGTAAAAAATTAGTAATTTCAGAACATGAAAGTATAATTCAAATAATTACTTAAGAATATTTCTGCCAAAGTCTAGACTTTTTGTATAAAAGTCTAATAGGGTTATACAAAAATATGCCATAGTTTATAAACCCTAAATTCATGTACAGGTAGTCCTCGACTTATGGCGGCAATTGGTCTGGAATTGCTGTCATTAAGTGATGCGTCTGTAAAGCACAACCATGTTGCCTAGTGATAGCAATCCCTATAGTCCCAGTTGCAGTCATTAATTGAATTTCACAGTTGTTAGGTGAAGCAACTTCCTGCTTTCCACACCCAAGCTCAATGGGGAACTCAGCAGGAAGTTGCAAATTCCAGACAGGAATGTGGCTGCTTCCAGGTGGGGGATAAAGTGAGGGATTTGTGGGGATACAGGGAAGGGATAGAGGGTTCATGAGAAGCACAGGTTGGGGAGGGTGTGTAAAGGTACAAGAGAAGCAAAGCAAGGTCAGAGAAAGGGTGAGCAAAGGACTCTGCATTGGTCAGAGACAGTTTGAGGGTGCAAGAGAGGTATTGCATGGGTTGGGGCGGGGAAATGCACGGGAGACAGCACAGGTCAAGGAGGGTGTACAAGGGTGAGAGGGAAGCACAGTAAAGGTGGGGGGAAAGTGCAAGTGGCCTGTGTGGTGCAAGTGCAGGGGGGCTGGGGAGAGTGCGCAGGTGGGAGAGATTTACCCAGCAATTTGCAGTCTTCCCTGCTGGGGAATTGTGTTAGGATTCCCCATTGACTTGGGACTGAAGAATAAAAAAGTTGGGGAAAAGACATCTTTGTTTTTATAAATGATATTCATACCAAGATTATTGGCAATATCTATAATACATAAATAGTTTGTGAACATAACAGAACTTGCTGAAATGGTCAAATTAATATGTTTTATTAGGGAAAAAAAATAACTACAGTACATTTGTTATTTTGTTCTATTTACATTCTTCTCATTTTCTTTTTATTATTGTAAACTGCCTAGAGTAGCCCCACTGGGAGATAGGTGGCAAATAAATTGGATGGATGGATGGATGGATGGATGGATGGAGCCAGCCAGGCAGCCAGCCCCTTGAATTGAACCTGGAAGCAAACTGGCAGCCAATGCAGCTTGTGGAGCAGACTTGTAACATGTTCTAGAAGCACACATAACTGCCTGCACCACTGCATTTAATATCATCTGAAGCTTCTGAATACTGCTATAGGGTGGTCCCTCGTAGAACGACTTGTGATCTATGATTTTGACAAGTAGGATACATTGTAGAAAGAAGAGAGTCACAAGGTAACTTAGAGAAAGGTAAATATACAATTGTACTGTACTTGCAACTACTGTAACAAGCAGAAGCCACTTTATCTTTTTTATCTTTTTCTATTTTTTCCTTTTCACACTTCAGAATTTTCTTAATTCTTAATTCTTAATTTTTCCTTCTTACTTTATTTTAGATTGTATTAATTTTTCTTTTTCTTTTGAAAACTTTCAATGACATTAACATTAAAAAGAAAGCACAGAAGTTGCAAATGATGATCACGTGATCACAGATAATCAGTAATAAGTTGTCAAGCACCCAGACTGATCATGTGACTATGGAGGTGTTCAGATGGCAGGATCTTCAAGAACTGATTATAACCACCATTCATTCAGCACCATTGTAACTGAACAAATAGTCATAAGGTCAAAGACTGCCTGTACTTAAAAGTTTTTATACAGTTATAAACTATATTCAAAATTAATGTAGTGTACAAGCATAGCGATTACTAATTGCTCATAGATATGAAAAGCTCATATAAAAAATATTTGTGCCTTTAAAAGCCATATAATGCATTCTTTTTAAATAATATACATATCACATAGCATCTGAAATACATATGCTGATCTCTTGCCAATTAGGTGCAAATTTTCAGTTGTCTACCCACATAAATACTGGTGAATTTGACATACTTCCTTTTTCCCAATTAGCTTCCCTTTAAAGAACAAACTAAAATGAATTCACCTTTTGGCAAACTCGGCCGCTTTTATAAAACATTTTCTTTTGTAATAATACTCCACCAAATGGCCTTTAGCATAGACATTTCCTCGATCTGATGCCTGATTGAGGCACTCCAAAGCAGCCTTCAAATTGTGACGTATGCCATGTCCGTGAAGATACATAATCCCAAGGATGCCTTGAGATTCCAAGCTTCCATTCCCACAAGCTTCTGAGTGCCAAAAGAACGCCTGCAGAAAAACAACTTTCCAAAAATCATTTGGGCGGGAAGAAGAAAAGGATTTTTGCTATATTCAAAGCTATGTGGACTGAGCCAAGGATTATGCTTTGGGTTTAATAACTGCCTCTGTAGCTACTCAGAAATATGAAGATTGTCAATCTTCAAAATGGCAGTGATACTGTATATGTAGCTGACATTCTTAGCAGTTGCCTGTGCATTTCATTATTCTGAAAAAATGAGATACCATAATTTGCAATTTAAAATAAAGGTAATGTTCTTTATACACATAATTCTATTTTCAGGCTGCCAGATATTTTGCTTAGGTTTTAAAACAACAGTGAAATATATTACTTTTTTTTTTAGCCAATAGAAAGAGAAGAGAAATCACTGAAGAATGTTGTTTGAGCCTTTGACCCAAAATCATCCAGTGATATTCTGTGGCTGATGGTAGACTAAACCCTGGGTTTCCCCAGTTCTGGTCCAACTCCTTAATCACTATACCACTTTGGGTCTCTGTAGTTCTCTTCATCTTGCTGCCTCTTTTTTTACCATTTCCAAATGGAAAGAGACTCCATTTGGCCAGTTGAATGCAGGGCTTGGAATAAAACTACACCAAAGAAGAAGGTACCTTTTTAAGATCCTTAGCATGTGCTGAATACAACATTCCAAGTGTACTCTGAGCCTTTACACTTGCTTTTGGGTTTCCATGATCTGCAGCAATAAGCCATAATCTAGAAACAATAGTAAGAGTGATGTGATTAGATTATTCCTTTTTTCATTCATAGCCATGTGGAAGTTTCTCAGATGTTGTGAAATTTACAGTTTTTCTAAAACCATCAAACTGTAACCAAGCAATCCCACCCAGCATAACCAATGCTAAAGCATTTTGGGTATTGTAGTTCAACATCATTGGGAAGACCACAAGTCTCTTATCCATGCATTGGCATCAAATTGGAAACTTGGCCTTTACAAAAAAAGGGGTTTCAGAACAGGATTTTTTATTGTGAAATTATTCAGTGTCAATCATAAAGCTTAGAGGGAGTTCTAGGCAACTTCCATTTCTAAACTTCCAATATTTTCCTACAATTTCTGTTATTTCTCCTTTCAGCTGAAAATCTATTCAGGAGGGAAATAAATAACAGCCGTGAACTTATTTTAATTGTTAACACAAAGAGTTCTCCATCTAGAAGCACCCAAAGATGTTGTCTCAAAATGGGGACCTTTATGTTGAAATCATGGCTCAGACTATATTATTATAGTTTGCTCCAAAATTGTCAGGCTAATATGCCCATACATGGATGCATTATAAAGAAAGGTTACCTTTCAGCTTCTTCTTCAGAAAATTGAGTCCCATGTCCTTCATAGTAAGCTCGGCCAAGGTTGTATGCAGCAGCAAATTTTAAATGTTGTGCTTTAGGGGAGTCAGAATTGAGAATCTTCTTCATATATTCAACTCCTTTCTTCTACAAGTGAACCAAAGCAAAGAATAAGTGATCCTGTCAAGACATGAATCACTTGTGAACAAGCAGCCCACTTGCATGTCAGACCAAGTCATGAAAGGGTCTGCTGTTTGAGATGAAATGTTACAACATTTAATTGATGGAGATATGATGCCAACAGCAATTTCTATTGAGATGAAACCCAGAGGTGTGCCTAGCTGAGATACTTCGTGATTTGCAACTTAACATTAAAGTAGAACATATTTATTTATTTATTTTTATTTATTTATTTGTTTAAATTTCTATACCGCCCTTCTCCAATGTAGGACTCAGGGCGGTGAACAGCCAAAGTAAAAACAAGACATACATACAAAACATACAAAATCTAAAAACTGTTTAAAATAATTAAATAATTTTGGCCGTAATTAAAACATTCCAATTTAAAATCCGTTTAAAATTTGACTCAAGCCAGCCCAGCTAGTTGAAATAAATGGGTTTTTAGGGCCCGAGGAAAAATCCGGAGGTCTGTTATTGTACGTAGCTCTGGGGGGAGGTTGTTCCAGAGGGCGGGCGCCGCCACAGAGAAGGCTCTCCCCCTGGGGGTCGCCAGCTGACATTGTCTGGCGGACGGCACCCTGAGGAGGCCCACTCTGTGGGAGCGTACTGGCCGGTGGGAGGCTATTGGTGGCAGAAGGCGGTCTCGTAAGTACCCCGGCCCTAAGCCATGGAGCGCTTTAAAGTTGGTCACCAACACCTTGAAGCGCACCCGGAAGACCACCGGGAGCCAGTGCAGCTCGCGCAGGAGAGGTGTCACGTGGGAGCGCCTCGTCGCCCCCAAAATCCCCCGCGCGGCCGCGTTCTGGACCAGCTGGAGCCTCCGGGTGCACCCCAGGGGGAGCCCCATGTAGAGAGCGTTGCAGTAGTCCAGGCGGGAAGTGACGAGTGCCTGAGTGACTGTGCGTAGGGAGTCCCGATCTAGAAAGGGGCGCAACTGGCGTATCAGGCGGACCTGATAAAAAGCCCCCCTGGCCACGGCCGCCAAATGATCTAACGACAGCCGTGCGTCCAGGAGGACGCCCAAGTTACGAGCCCTCTCCGTGGGGGCGAGTGATTCGCCCCCAATAGCCAGCGATGGCGTCAGCTGGCTATATCGGGACGCCAGAAGCCACAGCCACTCGGTCTTGGAGGGGTTGAGTTGGAGCCTGTTTCTCCCCATCCAGGCCCGCACGGCCTCCAGGCACTGGGACATCACTTTAAGGGCATCATTGGGGTGGCCTGGGGTGGAGATGTACAGCTGGGTGTCATCAGCGTACTGATGGAACTCCACCCCGAAGCCACGGATGATCTCACCCAGCGGCTTTACATAAATGTTGAACAGAAGGGGCGAGAGGACCGACCCTTGTGGCACCCCACAAGCAAGGTGCCTCGGGGTCGACCGCTGCCCCCCTGTCAACACAGATTGCGACCGGTCAGAGAGGTAGGAGGAGAACCACCGCAAAACGGTGCCTCCCACCCCCAACCCCGCCAACCGGTGCAACATGATACCATGGTCGATGGTATCAAAAGCCGCTGAGAGGTCTAACAGGACCAGGATAGAGGAGCAACCCCTATCCCGGGCCCTCCAGAGATCATCCACCAATGCGACCAATGCCATTTCCGTGCTGTGCCCAGGCCGGAAGCCGGACTGGAGCGGGTCTAGATAGACAGCTTCATCCAGGTACCGGGGAAGCTGTTGCGCCACCACACTCTCAACAACCTTTGCAATGAAGCGAAGGTTGGAGACTGGACGATAGTTAGCCAAAACAGCCGGATCCAGAGAAGGCTTCTTGAGGAGGGGCCTCACCACCGCTTCTTTCAAAGGGGCCGGCAGGACCCCCTCACTCAAAGAAGCGTTAACAATCTTCTGGAGCCAGCCTCGTGTCACCTCCCGGGAAGCCAGTACCAACCAGGAGGGACACGGGTCCAATAAACATGTGGTCGCGTTCAGCCGTCCCAGGACCCTGTCCATGTCCTCGGGAGCCACAGGATCAAACTCCCCCCAGATAACACTCTCAAGACCTGCCTCAGTCATCCCGTCTGGACATACCCAGTCAGAGGCCAGCCCTTCCCGAATCTGAGCGATTTTGTCATACAGATACTGCACAAAATCCTCAGCTCGACCCTGCAAGGGGTCATCCCGCACTTCCAGATGGAGGAGGGAGCGGGTCACCCTAAACAGGGCGGCCGGGCGATTATCTGATGACGCGATAAGAGCGGCAAAATAGCTAGTTTTCGCCGCTTTTATCGCCACTAGGTAGGTCTTAATATGAGACCTCACCAGTGTTCGGTCAGGTTCGGAGCGGCTGGTCCTCCAACTACTCTCCAGGCGTCTTTTCCGGCGCTTCATCTCCCTAAGCTCCTCGGAAAACCAAGGAGCTAGGTGAGTTCGGTGCCGGGTCAGAGGCCGCAAAGGCACGACTCGGTCCAAGGCCCCGGCAGCCGCACTATCCCAGGCGGCCACCAGGTCTTCAGCCGAGTCATGAGCCAGAATCTCAGGAAATGGCCCAAGCTCCATCTGGAACCTATCAGGGTCCATCAGGCGCCTGGGGCGGAACCACCTGGTGTCAGAGTTTGATTCTGACCGGCTCAAGGTTGACTCAGCCTTCCATCTTTCTGAGATTGGTAAAATTGGTAAAATAAAAACCCAGATTGTTGGGGGCAATATGCTGACTCTGTAAATTGCTTAGAGAGGGCTGTAAAGCACAGTGAAGAGGTATAAAAGTCTAAGTGAAATTGCTATTTCAGTAGAATCTTCAGGAACAACGATTGAAATTCGAAGCAAAAAATCTTGTATAAATGAACTCTTTTATAAAAAGGACTTTTCAATTCAGAAAATCATAATGAAGGTTTGGCTCTGAAAATTAAGCTACTGCTACCCTAACAAAATACATCTTAAGCCAGCTGGGGAAAGCTTTCCATATTAATAGCAATCTCAAATCTGCCCTCTGCCATTCCTGACTTTGAATTTACAGAAACCTTGGCTGATTCACCTTAAGCCTTGTGGCCTATAGATTTGGAGACAGTTGCCTCTGATAGGTTTTCATAAACCACTTGTTTGGACATTCATTTAAACTGATAGGTGCCTACAGGGATCCAAATATATTTAGTCATCATTTCTAGCATGAAGTTGCAGAGAACTAGATCTTTGTTACCTAGAATGTTTACTTTCTTTACTGCACGAAAAATTGTGTGGAAATCCCTTTTTGGCCTCACTACTTTTGAAAGCAATGATTTCTAGGGGGTAGTCATGAAAGTGACATCATAGTGTCAGAACACAACCTAGCCCCTTTTTTACATGTATCATGAGACTACAAAGATGGCCAAATGTCTTGTGGGATGCATGACTTTCATCACTTTCATCACTGACAAGCAGCTAGCTCCTGCAGACAGCTATGATTCAAGTCATGCTCTCTCAAACCTAACCCATATACTTCTACAAAAAAACCGCATGTTACAGTATGCCACAGGTCTACATTGACGTAAATTCAATTGTACACTCTAGTGTACACTCTAAAACAAATAATCATTTGAATAGACAGTTTTTCCAACTGTAACAAAGCATGATGTTTTGGATTCCATATCATGAACTTAACTTTACAGCCATGTTTATGGCAGGTCGTTGTATGTAAGTTTTTAATTTAACCTTCACTACAATTTAAGAGAAGTCTATTCAATAATAAAAATGACAAGGAAGACATATAGTTCAGCTGAAGTTATGTATTTCTTGAGAAAGAAAAACACGTCCATTGAGTTTACATTATTAAAAACAATTGACTGCTTAGTGGAGTAAATTGACAACTGTATAATCTTATTATTTATTAAACAAAAATACATTTGAAAAAGAGGTAATGTGAGGATCCATAGATGAACACAGCTTAGTCCCTGAAGAGAAGAGAATAACAGAGTTGGAAGGGACCTTGGAGGTCTTAAGGGTCCAATCACCTCCTCAAGCAGGAGACCCTTTACCATTTCAGACAGATGACTGTCCAGTCTCTTCTTAAAAGCCTCCAGTGATGGAGCACCACAACTTCTGCTTGATTGTTCTCACTGTCAGGAAATTTCTCCTTAGTTCTAGGTTGGATCTCTCTTCGGTTAGCTTCCATCTGTTGTTTCTTGTCTTGCTTTTGGGTGCTTTGGAAAATAAGTTGACTCCCCTTCTTTGTGGCAGCCCTTCAAATATTGGAACACTGCTATTGTGTCACTCCTGATCCTTCTTTTCATTAAACTAGCCATACCCAATTCCTGCAACAGTTCATCATATGTTTTAGTCTCCAGGCCCCTTATCATTTTTGTTGCTCTTCTCTTCATTTTATCCAAAATCTCAAAAACTTTTTTATAATGTGATAACCAAAACTGGATGCAGTATTCCAGGTGAGATCTTACTAAAGCCTTGTAAAGTGGTGCTAGTACTTAGTGCCAGCTTAGTGCCATCTGCAAATTTGATGAGTTCCCCTTCTATTCCTTCATCTAACTAATTTTTGAAGATATGGAAAGTATTGGGCATAAAATGGAACCTTGGGATACCCCACGTTGAATGTGATTTTCAGACAATTACAAATCCTTCTTGTGGTGATGCTGTCTGTCCCACATTTTTCTAGTTTACCAAGAAGTAGATTGTGGCCTACTTTGTCACATGCCTTACTGAAACTCCAAGTATACTATGTTCATTGCATTTCGCTAGTCCACTAATTTTGTCACTTTGTCAAAGAAATAAGATTTGTTTGGCATGATCTGCAGAAGATTCCCACAGTCACTGTAGTTGTGTATTTTGCATATAGGCAATTCAATATCTTGTAGACTTGTACCTACCTTCCATGTTCTATGTAAAGTGAAGACAAACCTTTAGGATTTCCACCACTGCATTTTTGTGTTTCCTATACTTGTGTAATTAAGAAATGCCTGTGTTCATAAGGACTCTGAGAAACATACATGCAAATAAATGCCGAATCTCAATACAGAACTTCATATATTGAATCATGGAATTAAAAGATTTACACAGTTTCATTCCCTTTGCATTTTTCTTGTTCAGAATTTGTGCTACTATTGAATAATAAACTTTTGTATATTATTTATTTATGAACATTAATGAATATCTACTTTCTAGTTGGAACTTACAGAATTTGGAGGAGTTCCCAATCCATCGTAGTACATTACACCCAACTGATACATGGACTGAAAATCCGTGTTTTGTTCAAAATGCAATAATGCATCTTCATACCGTTTCTGTACTAGGCATATAGAAAATAAAATATTTAGGATTAAATCAGCTAGTAAATCTTACAGGCTGCTGAATCTTTCAGAATATCATTCCTATCTAGATACTATATTCTTAATTTAAAATAATTAAAAGGGTGACTAAGCATCTTAAAATTTGAAATTAAGTGCATCAAGGATAGTAGTACTTCATCAAATTCAAACAATAGTAAGACCTGAAATGATAGGTAAGTATGTGCAGAAGAAAATGCTTATAAGAGATATTTATACTTGACTCCTTAGATCCTCAGAACATAAAAGCTTAACAGGAAATAGTTCCTGGATGGAAACCTTGCAAAAGAGCAAATTGCTTGGATCCAAATTCTTGGATCTGCTTTTGCAATAAGATAAGTGCATATTTCTCCACTGAAGAAGACATTCTATAAGCTATGTTGTAGAAAGTATGCTTCTACATACTTTCTGAGTGCTAGGGAACATTAGTAGGAGATTGTTATTACACCCAAGCATCCAATTACCTTGGCCACTATGTGAATAGCACAGACTAATTAGACCATTGTTTTCATTCTATATGGTTCTTATGAAATGAATAACAGCATCCTTGTGGGCACATTTGTTGAATAGATCATTGGCTTTTCTATGTAAAAAAGGGGACATTGTGCAAACCCTTCTTTATTAGTGAACCTGGATTCCTATTGTCAATCAAACTGGAATCCTTGCAGCACCCAACAACCCAAGTAAGCATGACAAATGGTGGGGAATACTTTTGGAACTAAAATTTTAGTAATATAAGTGAATGCCACAGGCCGTCTACTCCTGGATTAGAATATGGATGCATAAACTAAGACCACACATCAGTATTTGCAACCCTTATTTATTGAGTAAGACATACAGGCCTGATTCACTTATTTTTCTAAATCAAATTCAGGAATGTGTGAACCAAGCCAGTAGGGTACCTTTCTTTATTCTTAATTACACTAAAATCAACTATTTTCTCACACTTGAAGCTATTCTACTGTGTTGGAAATATCAAACTCCCCAGCTAGTAAGACCAGTGAAGTTGGAAATTATAAATGCTACCCTTTCTGGAAAGCACCAAATTGGGGAAATGAGTTCTAAAATACTGGCATCTGAAATTGTCCTTAATCCTTGCTTTTGATGCCATGTCCCTCCAGCATTCTTTACATTCTTTTAGAAGTTGTAGAATTTCACCTCTTCAAAATAAAGTTGCCCTTTGAGAAAATATGCCAGTGGCTCTCCATCTTTGATTCGCTTTTCCAGAAGTTGTTCAGCCTTTACAAACAGAAAATTATGATCGGAAGCCCCTATTTAAAAACAGAGACACAGCTGTGGTTGTTTATGAGATAATCAGTATATAAAACAGATGTGGGGAAGCTTTTTGGACCAAAAGATTCATTTTTTCTTAATGGCCATTTGTTGAAGCTGCATGTTAGTTATATATGGGATGGAAATTAAACTCATTTATGATAAGGGATGAATGAACAGAAGAAGTAGCATGAAGAGGATATAAAGAGTTGGATTCAGAGGCCTGGTGACTTGATTAAACTGGCAAGCAGACAGAGCTGTATTATATAAAGCCATGTTAAAAACTCAGTTCTCATCTCAGTTCTCTCTTTATTTTTTCCTTCAAGTCTGCTTTTTTAAAGATCCTGTAGGTAAAGAAAATGGCCCCAATCCAAAGATAATTGAGCACAACATGTAACTATGCAGATGGTTACTTAGTTTTGAAAATACTGGTCATATTGTGGAAGAAAAGGGGCACATTTCCCCTCTCCTTACTCTGCAGCTCGAAGCTGACTGCATTGCCTGTCAGGAAATATGCATGAAAATGCAGTCCATCATTCATTGTGCTATGTGGATACCATATTTGTAGGTGGAATACTTCAAGAGGAATCTTACACAAAAAGCTTGGATTTTTGGCTGTACTGGTGTGCCTAAACTTTAACATTATTTGAATGTAAACTTGACACTGAAATGAAACAAAATGGAAAAAAAAAAACTAAATGAAATGCAAGCAGGAGTCATTGATCACATCAACAGTTATTACTTGTATGTCAAAATAAAAAAAAACAGATAGAGCAACACTCTATCAAATGTGTTCCCCACTCACATAACTGTCCCTCCATTTGTTCAAGGAAAATGTTACATAATAAACTGCAATACCATAAAGGGAAAGTGATGTATACAGGTAGTCCTTGACTTACAACCACAATTGAGCCCAAACTTTCTGTTGTTAAGTGAGACATTTTTAAAGTGAATTTTGCTCCATTTTACGACCTTTCTTAGCTCAGTTGTTAAGTGAATCACTGCAGTTGATAAGTTAGTAACCCGGTTAAGTGAATCTGGCTTCCCCATTGCCTGGGGAAGGTCACAAAAAGGGATCACATGATCTTGGAACACTGTGACTATCATAAATATGAACCAGTTGCCAAGCATCTGAATTTTGATCACATTGATCATCGGGATGCTGCAAAGGTCAACTCTGAAAAATGGTCATAAGTCACTTTTTTTGGTCCTGTTGTAACTTTGAATGGTCACTAAATGAATTGCTGTATTTCTTTATTTTCTAAACAAATTCAATGAAATATATTTCCCCAACAAAGGGTCAATGCTTTGCTGAGAAGCACTGCGGTGCTATTGATATGTCTGACCCTACAGAGTTATGCATACAGTAGAAGAGACAAGAAAGATGTAGAGTGGTTTACACTGAGAACTACATCAAAAGGCTCAAATCTGCCATGGTTTTATAGTCTCGTTTAGCTGTTTAATTAAACAAGATAAAATTAAACATTTTATCCCATGTATAATAATTAGCCAGAATTTTCTGAATAGTGTTTTTGTTCTGGCTGCAAGTAATAGAGAAGACGGAGAAAAAAAGCATGATTCCCTGGAAGATTAGCTCATTTATAGTGGGCAGCAGCATAAGCCCTCTCCTTTTCATGAGAAAAAGAACTGCCATTTTAAAGAAGAGAACCTGTGACACTTTGCAAAAAGCTCTCTTCCTTTTCTTGGCAGAAGTTCAGGCTGTTTATTAGAGCTCTTGTAATCTTGTTTTTCAGGAAACGAGTGACTTCTTATAATTAAAGTACTATGAAAGTATCCCTTCAGCTTATCCCATGATAAAAAAATAACTGAAAGCTAGAAAGTGTATTTTTTGTTACCTTGATTGGATAGCCATTGTAAACTATCCAATTCACTGGTGGACTCCCTTAAAATGCACCGGAGAACAGTCTCAGTACTATGTTCACGAGGCAGAGGTTCACGGGTTGGCTTCATTTTTCTCTTTTATATTATTCCTGTTTTAATAAAAACTGAGAAACATACTCAAACCTTGAGAAATAGTTACTTGCTTCGCCTTTAATCCCCTTTCCTTAGGATACTAGCCCTTCCCCCTCCCCCAAAGGGTTGCTTCTTACACTGATTTCTAATTATTTCCCATTGACTTCATTGGGTCAGCATATTTACATATTCATTCATTCATTCATCAAACTCATGATTCTGGATTGCTATCAGAGTTAAAATATAAAGTCACAAAAAGCAGAAAAATAACAACACACAGAAACAACATCCATCATTAAAAACAGACCCACTATTCACAGGTTAACCTAACTGATGCACTCAACCACATGCCTGATGATAAAGAACTGACCATATACAGGTAATCCCTGGGTTATGATGGCAATTGGGACCAGAATTGCCTGCATAAATGACAGTCGTAAAGCGCAATGTCATTGCTTGGTGATGGCAATCTTGGCAATTCCTGTGGCATAACCCCAAGATAGGTGGGTTGTTAAGTAGGACGAGACAGAATGTCAGGTAAGGGGCATGGGCATGTTGTGTTGGGATGAAAGTACCATGTTTGGGGGGGGAGGCCAGGGACATCCTCTTAGAGCCAGCACAGCCGATAAACTAATTAAGGAATGCCAGAAGAGGACCTGGATGCCTGGGCTCTTAATTTAGCAACCATACTACATATGCTGCCTCATAGAGCCTTCTCTGTGGGGGCTCCTGCCCTCTGGAACGAATTGCCCCCCCGAGATGCGGAGGATTCCCGACTTACGCACCTTCTGCCGGGCCCTCAAGACGCTTTTATTTCAACAAGCCGGGCTGGCCTAATTTTTTAAATTTTTAATTGTCAATTCTTAATTTTTTAAACATTTCAATCGGGTAGTTTTATTTTAATTAGACATGGGCCAAACTATTTAATATTTTTAAACCGTTTTTAAATTTTATATTTGTGTTTTATGCTGGCTATAGACCGCCCTGAGTCCCTTTGGGAGAAGGGCGGTATATAAATTAAATAAATTAAATAAATATTCCAATTGTGATTCATGGGTTGTAGCAAAATATGCATTATTTTTAACTCTAGTATACAACTCTTAGACTTTTTTATTCATTGTATTACCTCTCACCTCTCTTCCAGAGGCTTAAAGGGTCTTCCCAGCATACTGAGACTTCTAATTGTATACCACTGGAACAAAAATGAGGACATTCCTTGACTTCCAAAATTTTGACTAGAGAGAATTTCTAGAATTACAAGATTTTCAAGAAGGAGCAATAGTGGAGGGAAAACAAATTTAGCAGTTTTGCCAATTTCACATTAACTCCTCATAATCCTCGATTTACGACGAGAGAGAGAGAGAGAGAGAGAGAGAGAGAATGGACTAGGGCATCGCAAGAGTTAACCGTCTGGCTCTCGCTTTTTAAAGTCCTTTAGATAATCGTTACTTGGAAACGTGCTGACAAAAGCGGCGTGAGAGGAAAAACAGGAGAAGAAAGCAGCAAAATGAACCCGCCCGATTCAATTCCCATGAATTGTGACTCACTGAATTCACCGACGGTGGCCATCGCGAATTGCGCCCTCCCGCGTGTAGTCGCAGGGAGCCGAGACATGGGCTGCGCGGTAAGCACGCGTCGCTTAGCAACGCAGGTACCAAGCGTTTCCCCAAAGGCCCACGCCCTGCCATCGCCCCTCCTTCTCTTTCACGGCCGCGCGAGCATGCCGCGCACGTTGACAGAAAGGCGGGGCAGCGAAAGGAATGGAAGGCTGATCAGTCGCGTCAAGCGGGCACTTGAACGGAGGAGTTCTCGTTGTAGAGCCCTGTTTTTCAACCTTGGCAACTTTTAAGATGTTTGGATTTCAACTGCCAGAATTCCCCAGCCAGCCATGATGCAAGCCGGTCCTCGTCCTCTGACCTCAGCTATAGAATAGAGGCTGGCTGGGGGATTCTGGGAGTTGAAGTCCACCCATCTTCAAGCTTCCAAGGTTGAGAAACACTGGAATGGAGCAAGCACCTCAAAAAATTGTAGGTATTTCTTCCAAACACGTATAAAACATTTGATATAGTCCTGAAAATCTGAATGAGTCGTACAAAGAGAAAGAAAATAGAAAGGCAGAGGGACTCAAATATCAAACAATAATGAGGGGAAGGTGTAGGAATCCCCATTTATACTTGACAAATCTTGTCTGAAATAATAGCAATCTAAAGACCAAGGGAGAAGTAGAACTTGGGAGATATGATTAGCAGTGCTCAGCAGAATAACTTTATAGCACTTTGAAGCAGTGGTGAAATCCAAATTTTTTTACTACCAGTTCTGTGGGTGTGGCTTGGTGGGCGTGGCAGGGGAAAGATACTGCAAAATCCCCATTCCCTCCCCACTCCTTGGGGTACAACCATAGAACTGGAATAGTTTATCTTTACATTTCTATTTAAAAATTAACTGCTGAAATTTAAAAATTAGTTGCTAGATAAATGTAATGATAAACATATAAAAACAAAATTTGATTGTTGCTTTCACCAGAAGCTGATCTTGACTTGAGGGCATTATACCCTCAACAGGTAAACCATTACTGTGAACATGTTCATTCCCTCGCAATAAACAACATGCTAAAATTTTGAGGCAGTAGTACAGGTAATCCTCAATTATGGGCTCACAATTGAGCCCAAAATTTCTGTTGCTAAGTGATAGATTTTTTTAAAGGGAATTTTGTCTCATTTCACAACCTTTCTTGCAGTGAATCACTGCAGTTGTCACGTTAGTAACACAGTAGTTAAGTGAATCTAGTTTCCCCATTGACTTCGCTTGTCAGAAGGTTTCAAAAGATGATCACATGACCCCAGGGCACTGCAACCGTCATAAACATGAGTCAGTTGCTAAGCATCTGAATTTTGATCATGTGACCATGGAGATGCCAAATGAAGTGTGAAAAATGATCATAGATCATCTTTTTTCAGTGTCGTAACTTTGAATGATCACTAAGCAAGCTGTTGTAAGTCGAGGACTACCTGTAATAACCCTCTATAGTGTTTTGTTGGAAGCAAATAGCATTGTAGTGCTGTTAGGCTTAAAGTGTATAAATAATCTACTTCCACAGTGTACAATCAAATTGATATGGCCCTCCCTTGGGATACATGGTGAATTCTCTACAGCTTGGAGAAATATTCGTCTTCTCCAAATCTAGTTATAAATGATTAAAATCCTTAAGGAATGAAGGGGAATCTGACTGTTTTTCAGTTCTGGCCTGATTTTCAGCAAAAATAAAGTGAGAAACCTCAAATTCCCAACTCTAGTTGCTATATGAATTGGAGCTTTAAGGTAGCCCCCAGGAGGGAGGGGGCCGGGGGGGACCATAAAGGGAGCAGCAGCTCCAGGGGTGAAATCCAGCAGGTTCTGACAGATTCTGGAGAACCAGTAGCGTAAATTTTGAGTAGATCGGAGAACTGGCAAATACCACCTTTGGCTGGCCCGAGTGGGGTGGGAATGGAGTTTTCGCAATATCCTTCCCCCAGGAGTAGGGTGGGAATGGAGATTTTGCAGTATCCTTCCCCTGGAGTGGGGTGGGAATGGAGATTTTGCAGTATATTTCCCCTGCCATGCCCACCAAGCCATGCCCACCAAGCCACACCACACCCACCAAGCCACACCCACAGAACCGGTAGTAAAAAAAATTGGATTTCACCACTGAGCAGCTCCGCTATGAATGGAGGGAGAAAAGTTCGGCTTCTCTCTGCCACACAGCATTCAACGTTAAATGCTGCAGCACAGAGAATCCGAACTTTTCTCCCTCCAGTTGCTGCAACCTGTCTCTTTAAGGTAGTCCCTGGGAGGGAGGGTGCCAGGGGGGACCATAAAAGGAGCAGCAGTTCCGCTGTGAATGGAGGGAGAAGAGTTCGGATTCTCTTTGCCACAGCATTCACTATGAGCTCTTCTGGTGCTCATACACACATTTTTCATATCGGGTTTTGTGGGCGTGACTTTTTTTTTTTTTTTTTGAGTGTGTGCGTGTATAGGGGAAGGAAGATAGTAGAAGAAATATGGCTTCACCATATTTCAATATGCTTAGAGAAAGTCTGGAAATCATGATAAACGTATATAGAAACTAGAAAGAGGAATAGAGCATGAAGAAAGAGGAACAGCATGAAGAAATAGTGCATATTTATAGCCTAGAATTGTAGAATTTGTCAGAAAAGCTAAGGATCAAAATGACCTAAGGTTTAGTGAAGAATGTTAAGAACAACTAAAGTTTTCCCCCTCCAGATATGTTCAAAATATAAACAAGAGAAAATAATTTATAGCATAGCTCCTCAGTGCTGCAGATGGTAATAGAATAATAACAAAATTTCTCAACTTCTTTTTCTTCTAAGCCTGTTTTGAGAACAGAATATGCTTTCCACTGGGCTACTGTGAGGAGCTGATTGAAAGTTTCCACCTCAAGCTTGTTGGAAACTGAATAATTGACCTTGAATTCGTTCAGATCTTCAGGCTAGATGTATTGTAAATGAATCTGAACTACAGCATAGTGATCATTAAAAATCAGCCTGAATTTATTTGGAACAAATTACATTTCACTTTGGGTAACTTCCTAAATATATTGCGGGAATGCATCTAGATTTCTTCAAAGCGATGACAAGATACTCTATATTAGCAAGCTAGATGACTATCAGCTGGATGACCTGTCTATTAGGTAGACTCATTGCTGGCTTGAAAGAGTGTTTGGAGATTGTGCATCATCTAGAAAGAGGAGAGATGCCAGAGGGTTCAGTCCTAGGGTTTCACACATTTTAATTAATTGCTTGTTAAAAGGGATGGAAGATCCTGACCAAGCAATACTTTATCAAATTTGTAGTTGACACAAAACGGGGCTTGATAGCAAATAGAGTAGATGGGATGGTGGATACCTGACTTGGTAATAATATATGTGAAAACAATCTTTGAAGAATTACAGATAATCACAGACACTACTCAAATATAATTCCAAGATACTTTTGTTCTCTTTTTGAAAGACAAATTGGAATCAGTACTACTTTTAGAAGGACAACATTGAATTGAAGCTGTCTTACCAGAAAAGACTAAGAGAGAGAGATATGTTTAGCCTTTAGAAAAGGTGATTGAAGAGAGAATAGCACTTTCAAATAACTGAGGAGGCAGCAGATAGAAGATTAACATCTATACTGCATCATCCCAGAGTGCCAGGTACAAAACAATCTTGCAAGATTTTGGCAGATTGCTAGAAAAACTTCCTAATGAAGTAGTTCACTAGAGAAACAAATTGCTGAGGAAGGTGTACTTATTTTGAGCTGTTTGAAAATATAAATTTTAATATGAGTTGCATCTTTAATATCTGAAGGGTGCTGAACTCTTTTGAAACATTTTGCCAAGACAGGCTGAAGGAACTCCATCAATCCACTCAGGAATTAACTGTGTGTAGAAGTAAGAATGTGTTCCAAGAACTTCCAAATAAATATCAGTACTTCTTTTAGAATTGTCCTTCCTTGTGGCTGTGGTAAAGGGAGGAGTTGGAAGGCAGAGCCATCAACGGGTTGACTTGTGTGTATGTGTGATACGTGCCTGGTTGCACAGTGCTGCATGGCTGCTCCACCTGTCCTCAGTCTTTCCTGCACCCGCCTATCTCATAAGCATAACAAGTTGAGAGAAGCCAATCATATCCCCAGCCAAACAGACTGGCTTGCATGTGCTCTTGTTTGTGTATGTGCAGAAGCCAGTTTGCTGCAGAGAGGGCGGGACTACAGCCAGAGTGAGTGTTCACAAGCTGACACAGCCAGTCTTGGAATCAGATATACTAGCATGCAGCACAGAGCTGTGCTCAACAAGCCTACCACCGTTTTTTGATGACAAGTCTACCAAAGAAGAGCAAAAATGCTACTATGGGATGCCAACTCAGAGGTAAGGAATAAATTCTGAAAGGGTAACTATCTTGGAAATTGCACATCTTTTGTAATGCTTGCCATTTCTTACTCCTTTGTTAATGAAAGAGTGGTGAATCCATGCAAGGACTATGCTTCAAATGTTCCTCTGTTTTATAGCCACATGGCCCGAGTCCTCTGTTGGAAGCAGGGACCGAAGTCAATCTAGCTGCTGCTGCCTTTGTTCAGTCACCAGCTCATCTGGCTGCTGGTGGAGGCCATGCCTTTTTCCTGCTTTGGCAACTCCAGACGGGAGCCAATCTGAACCAACAGGTACATTTTCAACTTTTCAGACCATGTAGCTCCCATGGAGCCTGACTTTTCCATTTTTTGTGGGAAGGAACAGCCACTGACTGAAACTATGAACAAAGCAAATAACATGAAGGCACACCTGAGTAGTTTAGAATATTCTGCTTTTACTTTGGCTAGGATTGCCATTGAGTATGCAGTAGTACTAAATGAAGTATCATGGTCCTGGGAATAGAAAAATGTTTTGTTAAGAGAAGATATGTTTGTCTTAAATTAGTAACTTGTTTCCAATACTACTTTTCAAAGGACAAAAATAAAACCTATTATTTTCAAACTAAATTTAGTCATAAATTTTAGTAGGCCCAATCCAGAAGAGTGTATGTTTTTTAGCTCATCCTAATGGATAAAGTTATTTTTAGCTTGCGAATAGTATCTACTGAGACAAGATTTTGCGATTGACAATCATATTACACTTGAAATTAAGCTTATTTAACCATCACCACCATCCCTTTAAATATTAATACTGAACAATGATGAAGTGATTGGATTTACAAATAAAGTATTTATTCTTTTTATTTAGGATTGGCTTGGAGAAGCTCCCATCCATAAGGCAGCTAAAGTTGGGAGTTTGGAATGTCTCACTTTACTCGTTGCCAGTCAGGCCAACATCGAGTAAGTGCATCCTGTACTGATTTCATCAAACAATTTCACTGTTTTTTCATTAAATTATATTTTCAATTGAATGTTTCTCCTAATCTGACTTTCTGAAAGGCTGCTTGTGGCAAGCTACTCAAAATGTGAAAAAGCTTGCCTAATTTGTTCAACTTTGAATTTTAGACTATTTTACAAAAATATCACTTTTCCCAATTGGGTGCAAGAAGCTTCAAATTATTTCTTTTTAGTAGGTGTTTAGGCTCCAATTCAGTACAAATAAATTTATACTTCAATCCACAGAAATCGAGGGAGTTTAACATTTTATATAACTTGTCTTATTGAATTCAACAGAACAAGCATGATCATCAGTTACTCACTTAGATTAATTCTACTTATGCATAAGCAGATACTAGTCTGCTTGCAATTTGCTTCATATGGAATTTATTTCCAGTGTAATACAGGTAGTCTTCAATTTACAACCACGGCTGAGGCCAAAATTTATGCTGCTAAGTGAGAAATTTGTTAAGTCTTGCCCCATTTTATGACTTTCTTTGCCACATTTGTTAAATGAATCATTGCAGTTGTTAAATTCGGAACATGGTTGTTAGGTGAATCTGGCTTACCCATTGACTTTGGTTGTCAGAAGATCGCAAAATGGGATCACATGATCCTGGGAAACTGCTATCATCATAAAGATGAACCAGTTGTCAAGCATCCGAATGTAAATCACATGACCATGGGGTCACCAGTATGAAAAATAATCATGTCACTTTTTTCACTGCTATTGTAATTTTGAATGGTCACTAAATGAACTGTTGTAAATCGAACATTGTTTTTTTCTTTAAAAAAAAATCTCTGGATTACAAAAAGGCTTGTCAGTAGACATTCATACATTTGTGCTGTGGTGTTTCAACTCAAGATTGTATCTAATATTTTTTTAAAAAAATCTGGATGGTCTAGTTGTATGAGAAATGGAAGATTGCCAGTCAAATGAATTGATTTTCTTTTAAATGTGTGTTTCAGCTTGCGCAATAATAATAGTCAAACAGCAGAAGATCTTGCCCTGGCTTTGGGGTTTTTGGAGTGTGCCCATTTCCTCATGAAAGTGAAACAGATTCAGAACCAGAAAGCAGGAGCACAGCATAACTCTTCCTTTCATGATAGTGACGAATCCATCCATACTGATGCTTCCAAAAGGCAGAAAGGAGTGTGTGAAAGGAATAGACTTGTCAACAGAAAGAGAAGGAGATCAAATGGTAAGGCAGTTTCTTCAACATTTTAATCCGATTCAAGGTTGGTTGAATTGATTATCTACATAGTATGTTACACAGGGACAGAACCAGTTTTGTTAGAATCTAGGGAATGTTGAACAGGATACTCCGAATCCAAAATTTCAAGCAGACCATGCTATCTTTTCCAGATTCTGTTAGTTGTGCACCATACTTCAGGAAGCAGGGCATCTGCAGCAATAGTGATTGGCCTCCAAATGGCAGGCATGGGGTGGGTGGGTGATCAAATATATATACTGTATTTTTCAGTCTATAAGACGCACCCCCCAAAAAGTGGGTGGAAATGCCTGTGCGTCTTATATAGCGAATGTTGCCAAAGCCATGCCCACCTGCTGGCCCCCACCCTTCGGCCTCTGCCTCCCAACAATTTGCTTCCTTGCAGCAAAGAGTACACAGCCTGGTCAGCTTCAGCACAGCTTGATTTAGCATGAGCAGCTGATTGGCAGTTGGCTCGGCCTCCTGGAATACCGCTCATCAGTTTTCCAGGCTGTGGGGATCGCCACCGCCCACTGCCATCATTGCCACCACTACCTCCGCAGGCCCCATATTCAGCCTCCGCGTGTCCTGTTTTTGGCCTGTTCCAGGCAGCAGGGATTGCTGATGCCGCCTATGGCAATGATCATGGGGATAGGTGGCGGCGGCAATCCCCACCAACTTGAATGGGCCAAAAATGGGGTGTGGGGAGTGCCGGGGAGAGGGGGGGGAGAGAGAGAGAGAGAGAGAGAGAGAGAGAGAGAGAGAGAGAGAGAGAGAGAGAGAGAGATTAGACTTGCTCCTGAATAATATTCCTAACAGAGGGGTTTGCATTGACAGTCACTGGCACCTCCTCCCCTCAGAACAGGTAGTCCTTGACTTATGACCAGAAGAATGCCCAACATTTTTGTCACTAATTGATACATTTGTTAAGTGAATTTTGTCCCATTTTGCAATCTTTCTTGTCATAGTTATTAAGTGAATCACTGCAGTTGTTAGTGACCCGGTTGTTAAGTGAATCTGGTTTCCCTATTGACTTTGTCTGAAGGTTGTAAAAGGTGACCACGTGACCCTGGTACACTGCAACCATCATAAATATGAGTCAGTTGCCAAGTGTCTGAATTTTGAACACGTAACTGTGGGGATGCTAAAACAGTCATGTGAAAAATGGTCGTCACTTTTTCCAGTGCCATTTTTCTTTTGACTATACGAACTGTTGTAAGTCAAAGACTACCTGTAGTTGTAGTCTTATGGATTTATTATAGTTTTCTATACCAGTTTAAAGTTTTCTTTTGATAATTGCCATGCTTAATGTGGTATACAACTCTAGGAATTTGCCTTTTAGGATGCAATTTTGTACATGTTTATTTAAAGATAAATTCTGAGCTCAGTGAAAGTAATTCTAGGCCTGAATATAATGTTAGTGATAGTTTTGTTGTTAGTATACTTTTGGCACATTGCCTAAGTGAGTACTTGTTGGAAAGGTAAGTAAAATATTGTGGTGGTTTGAAGGAAGTTGGATTATTATGGGAGGAAGAACAAGGATCTACATAAGCCAAGAGAGACCAGAGCAGAACTGTTTACTTGCCCAGAATTAGTTTCTAAGGCTGCAATCTGTTATATTGAAATTAGATGCTGTACACATGCTTAACTCAAAACAGATTCTACAGCTGAAAAGCAAATCTTTCCATTTATACAGATTTGAACTCAGAGTCATGTGAAAATGAATAAGCGTGAGAAATATGGATATTCAAAGCTCTGCAAAGAAAAACCTGAATCTACAACTCAATGCAAAGTATTTTGAACAATGCCTTCTACGAAGGAATGTGTTCTTCTTGAAGAAGATCTTTTCATATAATTTCGGCGTGTGAACAATAATAACATACAGTAATATTTTTTTACCATTGATTCATGTATCATTAATTTTGTGACTGGTATATTGATGTTCTTTACTCATGTGAACACACACAAAAGCAAAGCAGTAGATAGTATTCTGGCAATCAACACATTGTTCAGATTAAACAAATATGAATTATGTTGATAAAAATGTGTTCTGTAGGTATGCCTCTGTCAGCAAATTCTGTATAGAACCTTTTTGTAATAACTTGCACTGTAACTATACCTTCTTATTTTTGTCCCTTGCAAGTCTATTCAACATTACGCTGGGAGCATGCCACTTTCAAAGGACAGGTATGGATGTGAGTTGTTAATATTCGATGACAAAAACAGAAAGCGATTCAAAATTAATAGGATATAATCAGATTTTATTTGAAAAATAATCTTGTACATAATTTGTGCTCTGAAATACTAGAGCAGTAATTTTATTTCAATGGGATTATGAGACGCATGATATTAAATACAAATAAACCATATATACAGAAAGCAGCTAGTTTATCACAACTGCATCATTCAACGTGTGTATTCAAATACATTTTGGTCGCTGAGGTAGACACAGATTATAGTAAGCATCTTTGTCCCAGAAATCTGGACCCTTCCAGCCACACCAGCCCTATAAAAAAAGGGAAGAGAAAATAAAATTCAGTGCTTTAATCCAATTGCTGATGTGTTAGTGAAAGAACTGGTTTTATGTATTCATACATGCACAAAAGCTAAATTTAAAGTTAAAAATAATTATAGCTACTCAGCAGCAGATTTATGCATTTTGAGGTACCAGGATTGTATTTCGCTTATTGTTCACTGGATGTGTGTTTACAATGTAAATATGGACAATAAACTCCCAATTATATATAAAATAAAGCTATAAAAACAGAAAACGGTGTTTGCCAGAGACGAACTCTTTTACATGCTGAATTTGAGTAACAAATTGCCAGAAAATTACACTGAATTGATAGATGTGCCTTTGAATTCATCAAGAGTAGACCTCAAATTAAAGGGTTATTTAACTGTTTATAGTTTAGTAAAACAGAATAACAGAAATTTATTTCATATATTTATTAACAATCAAATATAACAGAATGAACAAAAACAGTTTTTGCTTCCATTTCAATTGCCCACTATTAGGGTTTGCATCTAAGTCCACAATATGCTTAATCTGATACTTCATTGAAAGAAGTTATTAAATTTATTTGTTTAAAAGAAGGTTAAGAATAAAGCAGGACACAAAGCTTAATCAAAGCCAGAAACAATATGTTTATTTTCTTTAAACCATACACTCGCACACTGTAAGCAATTCACTATTTCCCCCTTTTAATGACAATTAGAAAACAAAGGCAAACTCCAAATGGTGGAACAATTCACCCAGATCTTTGCAGGTGAGGGTCATCCTAGTTGGAATTTATGAAAACAAGAGACTCTCAACACTGCTCCCACTATGTAAGAAAAAAAATTACAAATAACATATATATTCTGTTCTGGCTAAAAGAAAAAACACATTGTTCATTCTGATTCTCCGTAAAAAAGAAAAACATGGAAATATATGTATTTTAAAAGTAGTTGAAGGTCAGGTTTATTAAGCTAAACTATTTCCTATTTAAGATATTTCCAGTTTCTGTTGAAACTGTTTCAGCAGTATTCAAGAGGATTTTGTGAACCTGACTGCATTGGTTTATGGGTTAATTTAAACAAAATGTATGTCATCACAGTACAGTTATATATTTCTTTGACAAGATCTCTCCTATGTAGAAATTAAATTTTTGAATTTTATACAAAATACCAGTACACTTAAGAACAATGAATAATATGAATACAGTGCTTTTCAAAAAAATCAAAATCTCTGGTACTTAGGTCAATTGTGAAGGGAGTCTCACCTTTTCTAATATAACATGCAGATCCTCAGCTCCAGTGTAGTGTGGATCCAGAATCAAAAATTTAATGTGCCCAGTGATCTCATTCCATGCCACCCCTAATATAGTGTGTGCCAAGACTCCACCACCTGGAAAGGCCAGAGAAAAGATAAAGCTGAAGATAAAGCTGAAACAGTGTGTTCCATGGCAACTCATTACTATTGGGCCACCAATATATACAATTTATTTTCAGTGTCCTTTGCTGCATAACGAACATGTCAATTCTCAATGATGGACTGTATTGTGCAGTGTATTTTGCTCTTTTAGCAAAAGAGAATGTCCATTAGAGCTTTCTCTGGGATTAGATGTTGGAATGCACTTAGTATGTCATACAATGTACACAGCCTTTGGGCCTGCTTCTCAGCCATATGGTAACCATCCTTGATAAAACAATTAATTGTGATAAAGAGAACATGCTTAATAGTACTATATCCTTGCCAACTCTTTCATTTGTCAAAACAAATAGCAAAGAACACAATAACTTAGAAAGCCATAATGCCCAGTCGTGCTTAGAAAATACAGGTAGTTCTCTACTTGCAACCATTTAGTGACCATTCAGTTACAACGGCATTGAAAAAATTGGCTTACGACCATTTTTTACACTTACTGCGGTTGAAGCATCCCCATGGTCACGTGATTTACATTCGGATGCTTGATAACTGACTCATCTTTATGACGCTTGCAGTGTCCCAGGGTCATGTGATGGCCTTTTGCAACTTTCTGACAAGCAAAGTCAATGGGGAAGCCGGATTCACTTAACAACCATGTTCCTAACTTAACAACTGCAGTGATTTATTTAACAACTGTGGCAAAAAAGGTCATAAAATGGGAAAAATTCACTTTACAAATTTCTCACTTAACAACATAACATTTGGGTTCAATTGTGGTCATAAGTTGAGGACTACCTGTATATCCAATTGAGGGCTATTCCTCTCCCAAAAGCCACAGAAACATCAGATGCTTCATTATCTTTTATTTTGCCAAAGATCTTTTTTTTTCCTTCAGGCATTGCAACACAGGAAAGGAAGGAAAACACCCTCAAGCAGCTTGAAAACAATCTGATAAGACAATGTGCAAAAATAAAGCCACCATTCTCAATTCTGTGTCTAATTTTTAAAAAATGATTTTAATTAATTCAGCCTTTTAATTCTGCAGTTATATATATTTCCTCCAAAATATGTTGCACTGTCTTCGTCGTAGCTTACTTGATTGAAAAAGATTAGTCACTTTGTAATTTTTTTGCTTTCAATCCTACAACTTAATTATTAGATGTAAATAAAATCTATTAATAAAGTTTAATTTCTAAAGCATGTTCATTATTCTTTATTTATTTATTAGTTCGATTTATATGCCGCCCTTCTCCGGAGATTCAGGGTGGCTTACAATGTATTAAGCAATAGCCTTCATACTTTTGTATATACCTGCTTAGTAGGGCTTTCGGCCCCCTCTAAGCGGTGTTCTTTTTTATACAAAGTCAGATTATTGCCCCCACAATCCGGGTCCTCATTTTACCTACCTCAAAAGGATGGAAGGCTGAGTCAACCTTGAGCCTGGTGAGATTCGAACTTGTAGTAATTGCAGGCAGCTGATGCTACTTAATAGCACTTTAGTCTGCTGCGCCACCAAGGCTCTTGAGGGCAAATTCATTTTCGACATTAGTAGTAAAAATGGATCTTAATGACAAACATATTTTTTTTCCTATAATCACATGGACGGAGGGAAGGAAATTGTATATATCTCCTGTATCACACAAACCACAATGTGGTTTATTAATATTTAGCATAAAATAATTATATCCTTTGAATTGGAGTGGAAAACCATCCAACCAACCTATGGTTATAGAACAAGGATTCTTTTTTTTTTTTTTAGAAAGCGGTATATATTTCAAATCAATAGAAGAGAATATTTGTAGCAGAGGGTTGACCTGTGGAGTCCTGGGTGCTGTCTTAGCTTCATGGTTTTTTTGCATATATTTCATTACCAAATAAGGTAACAAACTGATTACCTAGTTTGTGTGTGTGTGTGTATTTTTCTGTAAATGGTTAAAGGAAAAAAAATAATTGTAGAATACTTGAAAAGGTATGATCAAGTAAGAAAAGCCTTTGAAAAAGCAACACAGAGATTGTTTGATATTATTAGTTTATCTGTCCTTGTCTTCCCCCCCTTAAAATAGTTTGAAAACTTGTTTGTTTTGCTAGCCAAACTTTCAAACATTTTTGTTGTGATTACTGACAATAGTAGCAGAATCATTTTCAACCAGCATGAAATTTCATATGAAAGAAAGAATTGACCAAAAATAATTCTGTCAATTGCTATAATATCATTTAAAATTGAGGTTTAAATATAAGGTAATGCAGCATTTCTAAGAATATAAATGAAGATGGGATAATTCTAGAATATCAATTTGCTCTTCATTCAATAAAAGCAAGTTTACTAATTACAATTCAAGTACATATACCAAAGAATACTAGATAAACAAAAGATCAGTCCTTTTTCATCTTAATTTTTCTGCTTCTTGAATATTTAACTTACTGTATTGACTGTAAACCTCAAATTGAATATTCAACTTACAGACTCAATTCTGTAGAACATTCAACCTTAAACTAAATTAACATGGAGTTGCAAATTCAAATGTTAATTGGGAAACAAATCTTTGCATTTAGTTAAAGAAATGGAAGAATGGCGCACACATTTATAGTATATCAAATGAGCAGATATTCCAATATCTGCAACATTTCAAAATAAAAATGGAGGATCACTATGTCATCTATAGGAGTTGAGAGTCTATAGCTCTTCATAAATTTCTTACTCCAGAATCATGTTTTTTTCTTTTAAAGTGAGTGAACATTCTAATACACATTCTAAAATAATATTGTTCAGAGGAATTAAGGAACAAATGAGGATCTTCAACCCACCACTTTATTCATAAACTTCCAGTAAAATATTTTAAATTTTAGAAAATTACCGATCATCACTGGTGTTCCTTCAATCTTGAAATGATTAGCGAGTTCTCTTCCTTGAGAAGCCAGTTCAGATCCCTGGCTATGAAAAAAAATATTAGCACTAATGCTAGCACTAACTAGGATGAATGGTAATTTAGCACTGGTAATTTTAGAAAAAAGAAATAATGAAATATAGCAACCCCCATTTTCAGGTTCATAAATTAGAATCAAATCAAGTCCTCTCAAGTCTGCAACTTTTACCACATAACTTTCACAAAATAGACAAGAATCTATGATGTTTCACCTAATACCTAATATAATATGAGGCACGATTAATTAATTAGGCCTTAATCTATTTATTTTCTATATAGATCTTCCATCCAGCATTCCTTCCTTTGTTCATTTATCCTACCTTTTGTTGAGCAGCCTAGGTGGCATACATAGCACACCTTCCTGTCATTTTTTCACTAAAGTGAAGTAGGTTGGTCTAAGTGGGAATGACTGACATAAAAAGTCACCCAATGAAATCCTCTAGCTGAGAAGGAAGTCTTCCTGGGTCCAATCCAATACTACAAACTACATCACACTGGCTCTTATCTGGGCAGTGTTGATATGGATCCACGAATATAAAGTTATG